TCTCTCTCTCTCTCTCTCTCTCTACATTTCCTTCTTCCTCTACTGATTCTCTCGCCGGAGGGTTCACTGGGGGACTGCCCCGTTCCCCTTTGGACTTGGTTGCAGGTCATTTGGCGGAATCATCACCCTGAACCGGAACTTGAAGAGCTTGGACCAGCCCGACCCATCCACCTGGGACGGACGGTATTATCAATGATAATTAAAGATTTAATTCTATTAGTTTGTTAGTGGATTATAGTAGTGGACTTGGTGGATGATTTCATATGACAAGGATTGTTTATTATTTATGAATTTTGGTATTATGATAATTAAAGATTTAATTTGTGTATTTTATATTGTTGGTTTGTTTGATTGAACTCTTAGTCTTGCATGCTCACTTAGATGTTTGTTAGTGGATTATAGTAGCGGACTTTGGGTTACTAGTTTGTTAATGGATTACAGTAGTGGACTTGGTGGATGATTTCATATGACAAGGATTGTTTATTATTTATGGATTTTGGCATTATGATAATTAAAGATTTAATTTTACTAGTTTGTTAGTGGATTATAGTAGTGGACTTGGTAGATGATTTCATATGACAAGGATTGTTTATTATTTATGAATTTTGGTATTATGATAATTAAAGATTTAATTTGTGTATTTTATTTTGTTGGTTTATTTGATTGAACTCTTAGCGTTGTATGCTCACTTAAATGTTTATTAGTGGATTATAGTAGTGGACTTTGGGTTACTAGTTTGTTAATGAATTATAGTAGTAGACTTGGTGGATGATTTCATATGACAAGGATTGTTTATTATTTATGGATTTTGGTATTATGATAATTAAAGATCACTTAGATGTTTGTTAGTGGATTATAGTAGTGGACTTTGGGTTACTAGTTTGTTAATGAATTATAGTAGTAGACTTGGTGGATGATTTCATATGACAATGATTGTTTATTATTTATGGATTTTGGCATTATGATAATTAAAGATTTAATTTTAGTAGTTTTCTAGTGGATTATAGTAGTGGACTTGGTGGATGATTTCATATGACAAGGATTGTTTATTATTTATGGATTTTGGTATTATGATAATTAAAGATTTAATTTGTGTATTTTACATTGTTGGTTTATTTGATTGGACTCTTAGCCTTGCATGCTCACTTAGATGAGTGTGCGGCGTTGTCACGAGGCTTGAGGCGTGACAAGTCGACCAACAATACCCAAGAACTTAAGTCCAAGTCATTTAGTAACAAGGTAGTGGTGCTTTATATCCCCAATATCACCCATGCAAACTTCTGATGTGGGATAGGGAGTTACACATCTTCAAGTCAACATCTCTTATTCTATGGGGGGGCATGTTACTCTGTCTTACAATAACATGTTGCTTTGTTTGACAGTAACATATTACTTTAATTTACAGTAACATGTTACTCTGGTAATATTGTCTAAGAAAAAAACATATATATATATATATATATATTTTACCTTGTCCTTAATCAATTATGTATTTTTTCCTTAAGAGGTTTATGAAACAAAATAAATTAGGTTGTCCTTAGTCCAATAGAGGGGTTTTTGGCTAAATTTCCCGGTTCTATAGCCATATATCAATAACGGCTCAGCCCCACAAAATATTACAGATAAACAAACAACTTGAAGCCGCCACTATGGTGGGAATGTACCCTCAAAATCCACAGCCCAAAATGTAGTTGGAACAGCAATTGTTAAAAAGGAATAACCTCAACATTCTGAAACCGTGCCAACATGATTAAAGTTTAAGCCTAAATGAAGAATATGTAATTGCAGAATCTCCAATCAATTTCAGATTGTATCATGGAAATTTCTCCTCCAACCAAATATAGATGGAATCATGGAAATTTCACTAGTAAACAATTGGGCTCTCAATGTAAAGATGAGGATCTGTCAGTGAACAAAACAAGCACATTTTTATTTCTTACTTGTGTGGTCATCTACCAAACCAAATGAAGGTATAATACAAGATACTGTCAATGAATAAGTGTGGGATGCTATTAGGCTTGATTCCAACATACATGACAAGATGAGACAACATAAATCAAATAAAAAAATTTAGTGCCGCTGGAAAGATCAATTAACACAACATCTTTTTTATCGGCAACAAAAGAAATATTAATAGAATTAATACAAAAGAAGAAAAGTACAAGAGAAAAGGAAAACAAAGGAGTCCTTCACAGAAAGAAAAAACAAAACCAAACACAACCAAAGTCTTATATTACATATCACATACTGCCATCATATCGCTAGGAAAAAAAAAAGAAAAAAAAAGAGGTGGAATCCCTCTTTGGTACTGAACTTCAAAAATTAAATGAACTACAAGGACAAAATTAAGGCTAAAGGGAGACCTATATGCAAATTATAAAACTCCAATTAATAAAATAATTATGGTATCACAAGGTGATACTATTATAAGAATCTTCATAATTCTAACTTTCGGCTTACAAAATTCTTATTTGAATTACTATCAGTCTACAATAACTATATCAACTCAGCCTATAAGAGAGCATAAGACTGAGTTATGACTTACAAATATTATTTTGAGGAGGATTATAGCTGACAACAATAATTATGGTGGTGATGGTTGAGTTAGATATGGACTTGAAGACAATAGTTAACCTTAGTCAGTTCACATTTCGTAGTCAACAAATTTATGAACAAAAACTCAAAATCCACCACTGACCAAACAATGATTACACTAAACAGCAAAATTGTGCTCGATCTAATGTAATTCATTAATGAACAACATATTTTCCCTCAAGCTACACCCATTTTAAGAGCATCACACATCATATTAAACTCTTCGCGTACCAATTCAGTGAGGCTCGAAACACCCATTTTACTTTGGGTGTAGCATTTATGTACCAATTGGGCTACAAGACACATAGTGCCCTCTAGTTATATCAATTTGCGTGCAACTGTTAGTTGCAAATGATAAAGGTCATGCAATTGGGGGAAAGAAAATAAAAACAGATATAAGAAGAACATAAGATTGTTCAAAAAGTAAAGAATGCGTCTTGCAAACAAAGATCGATTTCTAAATGATTATAGAGTTATAAGCACAGCATTAAAACTGAATAAGTAAACTGAAAAAAGATTTCAAATTCACTCATATGCACTAGAAATAAGGGACCCAAATTCATATATATCCTTCCAAAGAAGACAGATAGAGAGAGTAGATTTCCTACACACACAAGAAAACTTTCAGCTCCAATTCTTCTATTTTGTCTAAAATTTCAACACACTGAAAATTCATTAACAAATGAACCAAAAATAAAACAATTAATGATTATCACCAAAAATTAAAATTGGTTGATCTCTCATAACCTTTACATATTAATTTTGTTTAAGTTTGATCTCTTAAATACAAAAACTTGGTGTGCTGCACCAAAATGCCTCTGTAAATTGTGTGTTCTGCAGATGTACCATTGAAACAGTCAATCATGTGCTTCTCTAGTGTCCTGTTATTTGGCAGATGTGGTCGTGCCTGATGAATTGGTGGGGGGTGCATTGGGTGATACTTGATAATGTTAATGGGCTGCGGCAATGGTGGAGGGGTTATAAATGGAGCAAATTTGAAAATCAAATTTGAAAGGCAATCCCAATGTCCTTTATGTGGTCAATATGGAAAATAAGAAATGATGTGGTCTTTAATGGGAAACTATTCTAGTTGAATGAACTCTGTGAATTAATCAAGGTGAGAATTGCTTTTTGGGTTAAAGCTCAGCCAAAGGAGGCTCTATATTCAGTACAGGACATTATTAATAATTTGCAGCAGATCAGAGCTATTGGTTGCTGAACTGTTTGATGCTGCTGCGGCTAGATGTTGCTGTTGTTTTCTGGTTGGGCCAGTTGCTGCTCCTGTTGTTCTTCTCTGCCATGGGCTTTTTGCTGCTGCTAGTTGATACCAGAAATATGTAGCTTAAGGGATTGGTGTGGATGGCTGGATGAGACTTGGGATGAGAAGATGACTTGGGTAGAAGGAACTTGGGGTTTAGAGGTGCAGTAGCAGCAGCAACTTAGTGGCAGATGTTGTTTATAAGGTAGAGGTGCTGCTGGCGTGTGCTGATGTTATGAGGATGCTGTTATGAGGCTGCTCCTGGTGGTGAAGAGGATGGTTGCAGTGGCGTTGCTGCTCTGCTGGGCCTGCTGCTAGTTTATGTAGAGCTGGGGTTGCTACTGGTTTATGTGGGTAGTGCATAATGGCTGTTTCTTTGTTGTTGATGCTCTGTTTGGGTTGTTGCTAGTTGTTAGTATTGGGTTGTAATTATGTATTAGGTGTGGCTCTATTATGTTTGGGTGAGGTTGCTTTTTTGATATTCACTACAAGAAATTGCACTTTTGGCGACTACTTTTGGCGACGACGTCAATTTTTCACCGCCAAAAGTATATTTTTGGCAACACAGTGATCAATTTCGTTGGTAAAAGTATACCTTTACCGACGCAATTTGTTGCCGTTGCTAAAAAGGCATAACATTATTTTAGCGCCAAAATTTCAAAACTTTTACCTACGAGGCTTATGTTTTAGCAACACAATGAGCGTTGCTATTAGTGTGCGTACTTTTGGCGATGACAAGTTGGCGTGGGCAAAGAGTTAAACATTTAGCGACAATAATACTATTCGTCGGTAAAAGTTTTGGTAGTGAAATGAGGTGATTTAGTTATTTGTATTTTTATTATAATTTTTCAAAAAATTTTAAATATTCTAATTATTGAATTGTAAAATTAAAGTGATTATCGAATTAGATCACAAAATGAACCCATCAAACCCCAAAACACTCTTAAGTTTAGATGGCTAATTTGAGATAATCTAAACTTTTTCAAAGAATCTGGTTAAATTATCAATTTCAATATGTTTGGTTTTATTTTCAGAAACTTATTTTAGAATTTTTTTCCCCTAAAAAACTAAAAAAAAAAAATTGGTGAAGAAATAAAAAAATACTTATTATTTTTGTATGATTTTATTTTTTAGGTCATAAATAATTTTTAAAATTTTGAAAACATAATTTTGATTTTTAGTGTTCAAATTAGTTTAATTTTGTTTTATTTATTTATAGCATTCATTCCAATTTTAATAGTCTTGACATTTTATTATTGTTATAATTGAAAAGATAAAGCTGAGGAAAACATTAAAACCAAAATCCCTAAAATTTTGGTGCCAACACTCCTCTGATCATGGACGGGTTCCCTCCTTATTCCCCGCTGGTTTGGGTTCCCTTATTCTTCTATCAGTTCTTAGGGTTTTTGAAGCAAATCAATTTCAAAGAAAACTGAAGGTAGTACTCTCTCTCTCTGTGGATCGATCGATTTATTATATAAATATATATTGATTATAGTTGTTGTTTATTTTGATATGAAGGATCAAAGACTATTTATTGATCTCACCTCTTTGTTTTTTGTGATCAAATTATAATAAAGAGCATTGCGACAACACAAGCAAACCCCAAAAAAACCCTAGATTTCTCGATACAAATTCCAGGGACTTCGAACCTTTCGAAGATCATCGCTTAGCACCGCCACTGTTAAGGTACAAACTGATCAACAAAATCGATTGGTTTCCTCGAATTGATTGATTTTTTGGATCTTTTTCTCTGCATATATGCTTCATATGATTTTTATTTTGTTTTTTTTGTTTTTTTTTCCTTTTTAAGTATTTTTTCCGTTTGTTTTTTGCTTTTAGGAGTGATTGTTTTGATCATTGTCGTTGTTTATCTACATATTCAATATCTGCCAATGATTATGGTTGGGCTATTTGATTTTAGCTGTGAAATTAAAAAATTGTAATTTATTGGAAGGCCATTGGGTTTTTTATTTTGATTTTTTTACTTCTATATTTATTTATTTTTTAATTTTTGTAATTATGTAAGATATATTAACCTATATTTTTTTAATTATGCATCAATTAGAAGTTTAATGACTCGAAAAAAAAAATTGAAAATTGAAAATAATATATGATTGAGAAAATATGAAATAATAATTTTTTATACATATGAATAAATAAGTAATGTAAATTGTGGGAAAAAAATAAATCCATTTATTTCAACTTAAAAAAAAAATCAAATAATAAATACATTACTTAAAATAATAAATTTTATGTTGTTTATATAGTGTGGAATAAGTCTTATATTAAATTATTAGAATTTTTAGAGAAATTGTTTATTTTTTACTATTGTATCAATAAAAATTAATTTTACGTTGTTTACAATTTATTGCTGCTTCTCTGTTAGATTTGTGATTTTAATTTGTTTAGTTAAGCAATATTGGTAATTGGTAAGTTGGGATCAACAAATATACCTTATTCTCCTTTGTCTGCTAAATGCTTGATGAATTGCTTCACAGGAGAGGTCCTCTCTTTTATCATTTCTTTATTTGCTGCTTAGATATTTTCAACAGATAAGAGAGAAAGAGAGTAAGATAGATCTGAGGCCTTTTTATTATTATTTTTTAAATTTTTATAAAAGAAAAAACAAAAGATTTGAGCTCATACATGTGTTCAAGACTCAGATTCGAACAAATTCCTCCTCTTTTTTTTTATTTTTTTTTAGTTGTTGTTGAAACAGATTGCAACAGACTAAAAAAAAAAACGACAGATAAAATTCAGAGAACAATTATTACTGTTATGGTTTACCAACAGAAAAATTATTGAAAGGTGTTAAATAGCATTATAGAAAACTTTGTTTAACCAATGTGTTTATGAAAAATATATAGGTGATAAATTTATTTTATTCCCTTCCTGTAATTAAAAACAGTAGGTATGGTTTTTTATATTTGATTTGTTTGGAATTGTAGAGTACAGTCTATTAAATATTTTTTTATAATTGCATTTTAATCTTCAATTTAAATAGTATTGCGATTATAATTATATTATAATCCTAACATTATTTACACCGTGCCTTCAGGCACGGGCATACGCTATATATATGAGCTCACATGCTCAAAACCATTGCTTAGTATTGTTTTTGGTGGTGCTCTTCATTATAATATTAACTGTGGTTTGTTGCTATATATATATATATACATACTAGCGTATATTCGTGCCTAAAGGCACGGTGTAAATAATGTTAGGATTAGAATATAATTGTAATATGCCCTTGAAAATTAGCATTATAAGATGTTATGTCTGCACACTTGTGCATACTTAAATAGTCTTTGAGCATGTGAGCTCATATTATATAATTGTAATATGCCCTTGAAAATTAGCATTATAAGATGTTATGTCTACACACTTGTGCATACTTAAATATGGCATGGTTATATAGCATATGTGGCATTCTATGAAAAAGAGTAATATATATATAGCATTTTTTGTTTTGAAAATTGGTTAAATTAGTTTGAATGACTAGCTAAAATAAAGAGTATGGTTGGAACACACAATAGTTGAACTAATTAGGTAAATAAAGAGTGTCATTTTTTTGTACTTTAGCTAGTGAAAAATAAAGAGTGTGGTTGGAGATGCTCTAAGAGTGTAAATCTTATGATCAAGTTGCATGACAGGAAGTAAATAGGTTCATTAGTTGAAAATTTAGATGCAGTGGCTGGATGTAATTTGTGCTAGGGCTTTTTAGGAGAGCTGAAAACCCCTTTTAGATAAACATAGAAGTTTCATCAAAGAGGGGGTATTGATTGGTGTAGTGGTGAATGCTTGAGTTCCCGTGTATGAAAATATGGGTTGGAATAATAGGTCACGGGAAGCTAAGATTGAATTTGTTTTAGATGGTTAGGCTGACAATATTTTAATCATCAGGAAAAAAGTATAGGGTGTCAATGTGTGTTATTTTATCTTGCATTTTTTATATTCATTTGCAGTAACTTGTTTTCAAATTCATTTTTTGTTCCCAAAAGAAAGAAAAAATGGCTTTGTCTTTAATTCGGCTGGCTGCTGCTGCCGCTGCCGTGGTGGTTGATGCTTGTTGTGGCTGCTGCTGCGGCTTCAATGTTGCTGTGAGGCGTGCATACTGTCAATCCATCTGATGAAGAACTTGCTGAATCAGCAGTTGTGATATGTGAAACTTCTGCAACATGTGGTGTGCTGTGTATACAACTAAGGAAGTGAATGGTTTGCGGAATGTGGGTGAAGTTGCACATGTCGGGCATGCATGTTGAAGGGAAGGTAACAACTAGTATATTCTTATTTTCAGACTAGACTGTGTATTCATGGTATATTTTTTCATTTGTATTATATGTTCATAGCCTTTAATGAATTTGAATATTATATGAACGTTGAAAACTCATGGTTAAGATATCTGTTAGACTTGTGGTTAACAAATTAGAATAATATAGTAGTCTCACATTGATCAACCTAACTGGGAAATTGATGTGAGTTATTTGACTTTTTTTTTTACTGTCAAGGCTTGCTCTGTAATCTTTTTATTTATTTCTTTATTG